GGGCGGAAGTTGCATGGTGTGGGCTGCTTTCTGTGGGAACAACCGTTCCCGACTTCTGATCATCCGTGGAAACCTCACAGCTGCTGCTTACCGCGACCAGATGCTCGTCCCTGAACTCGTTCGCTTTCATGGTGGCTCATGGTCCAGGTCTCTCTACCACAGTTCCAGCATGATAATGCTTGGCCGCACTCCGCTGATGGTGACGCAGGAATTTCCTTCAAAACGCTGGAATCAACGTCATGGACTGGCCATCGAGGTCCCTGACCTTAATCCAATAGAGCACGTTTGGGATGCGCGGGAGGAGGCTTCTTGGTCTTAGGAACCAACCTCCAGAATGGCGGTAGGAACTGGCGCTGCCTTGCAAGAGTTGGCAATGGCGCAGAATCTCTAAACCACGTGTTCTGAAGCATCAGGCAGTCGATGTGGAGACGGTGTTTGGCAGTGGTGAATGCGCGGGGCGGCCATACACGATACATGAACTGAGAAATTTCGCATTTTATTCTTGTGACTTGACATTCTGTATACCCATGTTTTCGGAACGGCGGTGTAGCCTAATGGAACTGATTATGTAGCACTGTCAGTGTATCGAGTACATACCACACAGATCTCAGCAATGAAATAATAACAATTTAACCATTTCACCATCTCTTGTTCTTTTTAGTGCCCTGAAGAAAGAATGTGAAGTTTCTTTTTGACTCAGTATATAATTATAGATGTTCTCGCCGATATGGCTGAAATATTGCCGATGGACGATAAATATTAACTCACTCACTCACTCACTTTTGTATCCTATTGGTGTAATAAAAGACTTATTATCCCTTACGACTTGCCAGAAATATATACCACTCACACTTTTGCTAAGGATCACAAACATTCACAACTTTACTTAAACGTAGATCTATAATTTGAAAATGTATCCATTTAAAACTGGATAAATAATAATATGGTAACCCATGTTTTAGGCAAACAGTCACTTTAATCTAACCTTATGCACTTGATACATGAGTAACCATAAAAATGGATTTCATGGCACCAATCAAACATTTTGCAAATCATGGTACGGAGTCATTGACAAGTACCCACAGCACCTGTCAATGGTAGGTATGGGATCCACAAGATGCAATGACATTCTGAAACCTAGGATCTATGCTATCAATAAGCTTAGATATTTAAACCAAATTTGATCCCACATGATAGTTTTCTGTTGAATCCATGATTTAAATCCTTAGCAAAGTGTGCATAGTATATAGATAATTGAAATTTCGAGGTTAATAGTTTCCAAACAGCGAACACTTGCCGTATATGGAATGTTAACTATTGCTCCGTACATCGAAAACTGTCGCACGCGGTTTTGTCGGTGTTTTCCGAACTCCTTTCAATCACAAGTTGTGCGTAGGATATTCGTAAAGAGCGCTCCAATCCAAGTATAGATCGGAAAATATGCACTGATGGTATTCCTATCGACTAGGTCACAAGTAATCAGTACCAAGGTACAGAAAACAGGGACACCCGATCATAACCGTGACGTTGCTCGATATGACTCAGAGGCTGTTGATGTTTTTGAGCAGTACACAGACCGGTACACATACGGGATTTCTCGACTCTGTTGAATCTGATAACAATGCACCCTTATAGATGGGCGACTCTCTCGTCATTAGCTGTGTCCATATATTTGATGCAATGATTTACTAAATGTATACAGATGTGTCCATGTATATTACGGGAAAGGTAGAGACCTATTTCAGTTACCATGAACGAAACGGGTGTTCACAAATACCTCTTCATATTAACACAATTCGCCGTGCATTACAAACGTACAATACACTCGGTCAATATGTCACAGCCGCTCTCACAACATACAGTACCCCAAACGTCGTCCGCTATACAAATTGATGAAGCTGAGCATTGTACCGCTGTCGTAGTACATCTTCCTTCGGAAATAACGGTATCTTTTCCACATAATTATATTGAAACGGATACTACTGGCATCACGATTAAATTGCAAATGAAATCTAAAACCTCATGGATACTCACCTGTACCCACGTTGGAAACATACATCGACACACAACCAGGAAGAAAGTTGTAGGGAGGAGACTACACGTGTTCGAATTGCTCAAGGTAGCATAGGAATCTTTTTGACAGTTCGTTCAACTTGATATTACATCCTGCATTGCAGTTTTCCTAGTACGTGGTTTATTGATTATATATTATATTATATTTTTCATAATAATGAGTAAATACAGGTAACATTTGTCCATTTGTCCATTTGTCCCTTCCCGTAATAAAGGACCACAAATAATGTTTGCGCGCAAACAGGAACACACACACAGAGACACACACACACACATACATGCATACAAACCCCTCCTTCTACCCTTACTCTCAGCAGACCCGTGAAGATCCGGGTTAGAATTAACCTTCAGTAACCCATGCTTGTCGTAGGAGGCGACTAACGGGATCTGGTGGTCAGGCTCGCTGACTTGGTTCACACATGTCATCGTATCCCAATTGCGTAGATCGATGCTCATGCTGTTGATCACTGGTTTGTCTGGACCAGACTCGATTATTTACAGACCGCCGCCATATAGCTGAAATATTGCTGAGTGCGGCGTAAAACTAAACTCACTCAACCTCCTGATAGTGCACGTAAGTCCCAAAACGTTCAAAGTAAATTTATAAACTTACCAACTTTTTAAGCGTAGTATTTTGTTATTTTAAATTTCGGCTAAATTTTCTTACAGTCACCAGCGGCTGAAGGGATGGCGTAAATCCAGCTAGGGTCCATGCAGGTAGCAAAAGCACTGTAAGTTCCCATGGTCCGTTCTATGGTGATCTACCTTCAGTTGCTGGCGATCCATAGCCCATTTTTACGACGTGTTGTTGTACTTAGACAGCTCGCCAACCACGCCCCCAATCACAAATCATAAATTCATGAGAATGAGAATTGTATTTTTACGTGTGTCCTATTTATCGACATAATCCAACCTTTCATAAACATACATCAAGCATTAAATGAGTATATGGATTCAACATCTATACTGTGCTTATTGTGATTATGGTCAGTGACCAGCATGACATGTCATGGCAAAAAACAGCGTGTTAAGCTCATGATTACATTTATATTACAAAAAGTAACAAGTGTAATTAGAAATACATATAAATGATTTTATGGCAAAATGCCAAGGATCCGGAAAGAGTAATACAAGAGCTGACAGTACAGATATGTATGTGTCATGTTGTATTTGACCTTGTTACGGTTTTGATCTAATATATACCTCCCGGAGGTATCTTTGGCATTAATGAAAATGTCAGTGCCACAAGTACATACATGTACACATCATAAGGGATAAATGTTTCAATGTAAAAATTCTTAAGGATCTTTTTACAAATGTTAATTTTCATTTAATCATTGAGTTTTTAAAAGAAATTGATTTAATTAATTCATTTTGATTGAAAAGTTTTGTAGATAGATGTATTTTATAATTGGTATAGTTTAAATTAGCAACTGAGATTGTTAGTGGCTGTGTCCTCAAAGGTGGTTAAAGTACTGTAAACTTATTGTCCTCCTGAGAATCATTCAAGGTAAATTTATTCTTACCACCTTTTAGTCGTAGAATATATGTCATTTTACTGTATGGCTAGATTTGACTGAATGGCTAACGGCTGAAGGGATGGTGTAAATCCAGCTAGGCTCTATGTAGGAAGCAAATGTACCCATATGCATGGTACCTGGTATGGTGATCTACCTTCGGTTGTTGGCAATATATAGCCTGTTTTTATATTGTATTGTCTTCTATAGTTAAAAGTTTTTAGTTTTTCATATTGGTTTTATATCTAAATCTGTGATCCTCTAGATATTTTACTGTCCGTCGTTGACAGGGTTTTATAATTTGACTTAAATTATTGCGACATTGTTTATTATTCAAATGAAATGTTTCAAATAATATATACAAAAGGTCACACACTATAATGTATAATTATATGTAATATTTCAGTGCACGTAGTAAAAGTAATAGCTTTGTACAATTTTTAACCCTTATGTCACATGGAGGGACACCAAGACATGGCCTCACGTGATGTGCCCATGCTGAGATTCAAACTTACATCTTTAGGCTACAAGCAAACGTTTCAACAACAGCTAATTATTCAGGGAGAAATATGTCACAAAATATCTACAAAAGGTAATATACTGTCATCTATTATACCCTGTATTCGAACGTGTGCTGACAACCCCACATTTGTTAGGTTTGGTTAAATGTGACCAGGTTACACATAAAGGAAAATGACAGACAGCGAGTCATAAGAATATTTAAACTCGGTGTCTCGCAGAGTAAGATTGCATGTCAATTCAATGTCCGAAGGTGTAAGGAGGAAGTTATTCATCCATATATTGTTATCTTCCCTTGTTCCTCCAACTTCTAAATGCCTCAAAAACAGGCCGACCGACTTACTTGATGGCACAACTTGCTGTCGCCAGAGATGGGGAACACACTAACGGTAGACACCAAAACAGTGGAGTGGGATCCTTCTTCACCAGTCAGATGGTAACATTCAATGAGGTGATCATGGTGTTCTTCAAAGTCATCATGGGAAGGAATAACTGCTGAAGGGAGGACTCAAAGGTTGGAGTTGGTAGGAATTTAAACATTGTGAGATACAGAGGTGAGTTTGTTCAAACGGCTAATTTGTCGTTTTTACAACAAACAAACATGAATCATGCCGTTATCCTATTATTGACATCAGAACACGTCTTGTTGTTGTGGTTCAGTTGTTAAGTAATAAGTGACCTTGGCCACACTCAGAACAATTTAGGTAACAAAAGAGTACTCCATATCAATATACATCGACAGTTAGCTGTATGCAACTATTCAGCTCAAATACGGCCCTGAGGGTCGTCGCCTACACTAATATTAGGAGTGGTATCGTCGATGTGCTCATATGTGTTCTCCACAACTGGATCCTTGGTCCCTCTCGTCTAAAGACAAGTAGTTATCTTCGGGTTTCTTTTGTGAGACATCCAGTTGCATTTTCAGTCGGCAATATATAGAAATGTTTCAACGTTTCAATTTCTTTTATAAGTTTCTAGACGGACCCTGAAATGCGTTCCAATATATATGTACATATATATATATATATACGTATATACGCCTACACACACGCATATAAGACATTGTGTTACTTCCTCTCACCTTCTGATGTAAATGATAGCTGTCAGGAGAGTGATCAGAGACAAGACGAGTAACGTCCCAAGTGTTGCTGCAACTGGCACTACCTGGTTTGAGTACCCTGATGTTGCAGGACAACCTAGTTTCAGAACATAAATAAAGGGTTCATATCAGATGCCTTGATGTCTTACCCTCGTTATGTTTATAATGAGAGAACAAGATTTTCAACAGCAGTTATCTCGCTGTCAGTTGTCTGGATGACAGAGCAAACTTTGTATATGATCGAAAGCAAATTTTTATTTCACAATATTACCTACTGCTTAAAGTATCTTACCTTGGCACAGGGGCTTCATGAAGTTACCCTGACATCCTTTTGGACATTCTTCACTGGACTTATCACAGGTTAGGGCGTCTTTACACTGACCACATCGGGACATGCAGTCATCCCCGTACATACCATCCACACATTCTGGGGAGAAGACGAGACATATGTTTCATCTTACCGCCCGACTTCTGCGATATATTGACACGCCTGCTTTATCAAAGGGACCAAGAACCTCATGGGGTGGGGCAGAACAATTACAAATTCCATCACATCAAAAGTTTATCCCACCTTTACAAAATGGTTCTTGAAACCCTGACTGACATCCTTCTTGGCATGTTCCATTGATCTTGTTACATGGCAGGGTTCCCTTACATTGGCCACACTCAGACTGACAGTGGTGTCCATGACGACCATCACTGCAAACTGTAAAGATACCATGAACCGTTAACAAAAAAACTACACGTTTCAGTAATACAAGAATACGTACAGATCTAGTACCTACCCTGTGAACATAAATCTGGCCACCATCCTGGCTGACATCCTCCAGGACATTTCCCTGTCACCTTGTCACAGACAGCATTGTCCAGACAGTAACCACACGGAGACGCACAACTGGCACCATAACGTCCTTCTGGGCATGCTGTAGACAGTAACATGAACATGTATCATAGTTCAACCGATTGTAAGCTTCTGTGATTAAGTTAATGTTCCATTTTGTGAGCTAGAGACATTAGAACATGAAATGCAAAGGGCAGTTGAGGGATAATCTCATTTACTCGTGACATGTTTGGCGTCTGGACAGGCTAAAGAATGGCCTAGTACTCTTCACTTGGACAAATTGCGTGTTAATAATCTTTTTAGGTTTCTATATACATGTAGGTTTATTTAATGATTGTTGAAACATTGAAATAATGTCCTTCTGGGCATGCTGTAGACCGTAACATAAACACGTGCCTGTGAACGATTGTACGTCTCAGTGATGCAGTTAAAATATGTCAATCTTGTGAGCATGAGGCATTACAACATCAAATGTCAAGCGCTTTGAGCATATCCCTGTGACGTGGAAAGGCGCTATATAAATGGCCTATTATTATTATTATTATTATAATTATTATTATATTGTCCATTATTCTTGACATGTGTGCTCAGGTTACTATGTATATGTAGGTTCTTTAGATGATTGCTAAAATTTTGTTCTTTTACTGTCCGTCTTTGGCAGATGTTTATCATTTACTTTTAATTATTTTAAATCTATAACTTGATTTAGTCAGGATATGGCTGGAATATTGCCGATGTGACTGTACATTTTAACTCACTCACTCACTTAAAACAGTTGAAATCATTTCTGTTGCAATTTGTCGTGTGTTAGGTCAAAATATTATCAGGATGACTGGACTTTCCTTTGGAGATAAACGACAAAGTCAAATCTGAACAAGAGACATCCTATTCTTTCCACCTTGATTGTACCGCCTATGCCTATTTTGATTTTTTTATTCTCCCCGGAGATGCATTTAGACATCTAAGTTTCACTATATAATATGTACACCTTAGGGACATTTGAAAACATTTCCAATTAACTTAGTTCACGAATATTCCATTTCAGTCCCCAGCAGATGCGACATATTTACGTCATCTGACCACAGAGGCCACTCGGACATGATGTGAACAAAGGACGTAGATTAACATGTGTCTTTACAAGTATCCTATATTTCCATGATAACTAAACGGAATTAACAATATTAATTAAAAACATCAAGGCACACATATCTAAAAGAATATTGATATAAACTGTTCTCGTCACAATATGGCTGCAATATTGCCGATGTGACGTTAAATTTTAACTCACTCACTCACATATCTAAAAGGTAAAAATTAAACAACTTACACTGTCTTTAACCCAACAGAGTGCAAGTGTTGCTTTAGAAAAAAATATTATTAAGGGCATACATATATGTTATGCAATACCATACATGATACTGTCCAAGGACAGTTCATATATGTTTAAAAAAAAGAATGGAAGAATTTATGGTTTATGTTCAACCAAGTTCATTCATAATAATTTATGCTTTTTTAAGGCAATGCTGTTGCGATTGTATAACTTATCTCCACCAAGAGCTCATGCTTTTAACTTTTACGTAATAATATACCATGCTCATTCTAAGAAATTTCTAAGGGATTCCATCTCAAAAGATATTTCACGCAGGATACAATGTACGAGGCTAATTCAAAAGGTCTTATGATAGAGACATATGGAGGACAATTCCAAAGTTGATGCATCAGTAGCATAAAATAATGACCGAGGCCATTCCCCATTTTGAGTGAGCAGGATGCATGTACAGTCTTTCATGAACACCCGGGATCATCACAATTTTATAGTGATTCATAGCGCATTATATAGTCGGTATTGTACAACCGACGCTGCTTATAGAAATTAATTATTGTCAATATGGAGAGGGTTTATTCATGCTTGTGATAGTATTCTGGGAATATGCATGAAAACATCAATATGTACTCACGTTGACGACAGGTGTCAGTTCGCCGCCCTGCTGCACAACCCCCTGGACAGACACCTGTAGTCTTGTCACAATAGGCAGCATTGAGGCAGCTGCCGCATCTGGAGGTGCAGTCGCCATAGTAACCGTCTGGACACGCTGTTGCATAACAACTTCGTAATGATAAGTTTAAAATAATCTGATGCAATTTAAATATGGACATTTGCTAATAAAGGGTTCATCCCGGAAGGCCATGGCAATTTTTAATACTATACACCAAGATACATATTGGAATGGTACATATCTGGAAACACAAGGTAGACAATCCGGTTGCGTTTGATTGTGTATGGCTCAAAATCTGTACCTGTTTGGCAGTCCGTCCCCATGTATCCCGGAGAACATCCACTCACACACTGTCCAGTGATCTTGTCACATACTTCTGTGTTTAGTGAACAATGACACTGTTTGTCACAGTCCTCACCAAACCAGCCGTCACTGCAAACTGAAAATGAACATGATAACAATAGATAACTGACGTGACATATAACTGGCAACGTCAGAACCAAATTACAAATCAGATTTCGTGATTAATGATCATCAAAATTGGGAAAGGGGTTCCCTTCGAATAATACAAACAGATAAATAAAAACACAATGCCCTTTTCTCCAACACGTGTCCTTCCTTACTCCCTGAATCTACTATCTCCCTGACTGACTGACTGAGTTTAGTTTTACGCCGCTTTGAGCAATATTCCAGCAATAGAACTCACAGACGTATGTTAACCTACCAAATATCTGCACCTCGCACAACGCGACATAATTGCTTGTCTGTATAGTGAGGTTGTTTCCTGTCAGTGCTTGTTGACATTTGACGTCAGCTATAGCAGGTGGGTATGTGTCACTTGACCACTGGAAGCATAGCTGACCACCGACATATATCTTCATGCCCTTGTTTCTGTCCAAGACTGCATATCAAAACAGAAAATTACATTCTTTGATGTCAGATGTCACATTTGATAAAGCAGTAGATAGATTGTGAAAGGTACAGCAAGTATTAGTATGCACAAACACAAGTCCAAAAGACAAACAAGTGTTTACTGAGGATCCAAAGTAGCCATGATAACAATACATCCGCACGTACCTGTTATCAAGCATTACAAGGAATACATCAACAATACATGATATTTTAATGATGATTCAGTTCACGATAATAATGGGTAGTTGAGCACAATATTATTTATAATTGAAAACTAAAATGAAATATACATTTTCAACCGATACTCACAGCCATCACGTAGATACAGCTTAATGTGTTGTATCTTGTCTGTGTTAGAGTTGCTCAGATGAACAGTCCAAGCTGGATGTGGATCCCCTGTGGCTGTATGTGTACATGTGAATGGTGTGCTATAGAAGTTGGTGGTAGCTCTGCCATCTACGCCGTACCTGGCCTCGAACCTGTGATCTGTATACCCTGTCTTGTCACTGTTCTCAGTGAATGTACTGCTCTGTGTGGCACTTTGTCCTATAGCAATATTTCCTGAAGAAAGTGAAACCATGTACAACATCATCAACATAAGGCAATGGTGGAAATAATGGCGTTTGGTTCATTGTACGGTAACAGTTAATACGTGGCCGTGTATAGTGTTTCGTAATGTATATCTGACTCATACATAGCTGAGCTTTAGATATCCATCATAAAAGGCAAACGTGGAAAACGGAATGCAGATGTCAAGTAGCATTTCGAAATACAGACACCGCCGATAAAAATATGAAATTATATTTTTATTGGCAACAACTGAGTATATATTGAGCATGACATTGAAATAACATGTAAAGGAGACTCATACAAAGATAGCACTCAGATATGTAAAACAAAATACAGACCATCACAAACTATTATATGTCATGACGTTTGATTCTGCCCAGTCATCGCACTGAGTACTCCGCGTGATAATTTCCGAATTAACATGAAACATGTGATGGTACCAAAAAGGGAATTTCGAAAAGAAATGGTTTATGAAATATTAGAGTGTATTTAACATATTTGTTCCGTCATGCGACCATTTGGAAAGAAGGTATTTATCAAGCTGGCATGTTGGTTTTATTTTTTTCTGAACCGTGAAAGTACCTGAAAGAACTAGTTCAAAAAAAACATACACGATTTTTATCTTTTGGACTAATGGCGAAAAATACATGTCTTGTCATTTTTTCAAAATGTGTTATCTTACATATGACATAAACCCTTCAAAACTATTAACTATAAAAATACATTATAGTACGTAAAGTACGTTTATTAATTTTACGCAGAGGAATCATGTATGAAGCAGAAGTACCGTAAGTCTCCTTGCTCCCAAGAAGGGGTTGTTTGTGGTCTATAGGCTAGTTATAAACTGTGCTAAATAATATTCGGAAAACTATATTTGTTATAATTTTGTTCGTGTTTGTTATTTATGAAGAGTGATACTTAACCAATCTATCTAACTGGGTCTATCTGAGGGTAATATGCGACACACTATGGCCAGGATGATTTTTCATTATTTGTTGTGTCTGTATATCTAAGTACACTACACACAGACTCCGATCCATCTTATATATTGGTTTCAACAGAATGAAATTGCTTGATATAAACCTAAACGAGTGTGATCCCATTGTACATCGATATCAACCAAATGCAAATGTCCTCTACTCACGTCTCTGGCAATGGGAACCGTACCATCCTTGCTGACATATGTCTGGATAACCGTCCTGGCTACAGGGAGTAGAGGGGAACACGGTACAGGCAGCTGCAGTGTTACAGTGACACGCGGCATCTGAAAGCATAATGAAAATAAGAAAATTACGTTTTGATACTGCAGGGATATCGACTTTTATATATGAACAGAAAACAGAAACATGTCACCCTTCCGTGGGTGACTTCTTGAATTAATTCCACAAAACATTTAGTACTAGCTAATGATACATGATATACGATGTGAGACAGAACTGTTATATCCAGGATGTGTCAAGCACAACTTGGGAAATAGTACAAGATACATAGTTGCCACTAATGGTAGCATACCAAGAGTGATTGATTGATTGATTGAGTGAGTGAGTGAGTTAGTTAAAGTCACAACGACAGCATCTCAGCCATATCGTGCCACAAACAAGTTCTAAATACATGATGAATACATTCATATTATAAACATCTGTCAAGAAAGGCCAGAAACAAAACCACTAGCATATCACAGAAACAGAATTTAAAACAAGCATTTATCTTTGATATTCCATTTCTATCAGAACAAATATAAAAATGGACCGTAGATCGCCAGCAACTGACGACAGACCACCATACTATGGACCATGTGGACTTTTGCTACCTGCATGGGCATAACATACCAATAACCCCTATTAAACGTCCTACCGGTGAGAGTCCCAGTGATGGAGAGAAAGAGCACCGTGTTCAAAAACCACGCCATCGTGCTTTGGGTTTGTTCCGTCGGGGATGGAACCTAAAACGGAACAATCATTGGTGTGTATTCTACTTCCTACGCATATTTCACAAAACGACATGATTACATGATAAATGGTCAAGCCAGACATGCTTCTCCTTCAAATTTCAACAAGGACGACTTTGGCAACTGGAACTCTCGCCAACATTTGCCAATTTGTTGCTAAATTTAGTTGCTGAATGTACACCTGCGATAAAACCTAGTGAGCACATCGTGTCATGCTTACCCATCCCTTTGATCCGACCTCGTCTCTCGATCTCACAGAAACAACCTCCCAGTGAAACAATAGGTTGCCGGCAGGTATACTATATTACATGGTAAATGTCCTGCTTAGTGTTACAATCTCTGGTGACTTGACATACAATTGATTGTGAATCTGGGACGTGCCTGACAGTTAACGCATATACATTTTTTGTGGTCTTAGTTGATTACATGTGAATTTCTTTTCAGACCGATTGGGAGAACTTTTGACTGCACAGATTGTGTCCTATACCAGCGCCTTGAGCAAGCACTAGTTGCCTGGATATGTGCGCTACATATAAATATCATATAATAATAATTAAACAAAATATATCAGTATAAAATATATCGGTACAACTAAAAAGCATGAAAACGACATGTTGCTTTCACGCATTAAAAGTGTTTGGGGCCTGATTGAACAAGTCCAGATTAGATTGCAAGATTTGCGAATTTTTGCATCATGTGAGTGTGTGCGTGTGAGTGTGTGCGTATGTGTGGTTAGTTTTACGCCGCTTTTAGCAATATTCCAGCAATATCACGGCGGGGGACCCCAGAAATGGCCTTCACACATTGTACCCATGTGGGGACTCGAACCCGGGTCTTCAGCGTGACAAGCGAACGCTTTAACCGCTAGGCTACCCCACCGCCCCCTTTTGCATCATGTTCAAAAGCTGCGGTCGTGTCAGCTTTTCACAAACATTGGTACGTACAAAGTATAAATGAATTATAAATCTCGTAATCTAGCACTCAAGTATGTTTGCACTTTTGGTATATTTAGCTCCATAGTATAGCGTACAAAGGGTTTCAAGCTGCAGTTAGTTCAGACTTAAGATTCGCTTATCTCGAACATTCATGAAAGTTTAAATATACCTTGCAGTGTGTTTACATATTTCCTCATGAATTCATGCGGGTATATTCCTTGGTTCACAAAGATATATGATTACACAACAGCAGAGTGAATAAGCGTACATGAAACATGTTGGATTCACACATAGGATTGTAAAAGACCTTTCAGGTGAGGCTAGTCATTGACGAATAACAGATTGAAAGCTGTTCAAAAGAAGAGTTGAAAGCTACTGAATGTGTATAGCAGTATGTTCATATATGCTCCCATGGAGTAGGGACGTGAGTTCCTATTTCTATTTATATACAGCATGCAGTTAAAAAAGCTTTAAGTCGAATACGAAGGTGACGACATACATAATTCGAATTATCCGAGATTCGATAAAACTGAGTATTGTAGAACAAAAACCATCCGAAGGGACAGTGTTTGTCCTTAGAGACAACCATAATCTCGACACATCAAAGTTCGACACAACAGTGACTGCATTTTCATGAGTAAGACTATCTATGTAATTTGTTTCTTTCATGGAGTTACTAAGGAAGCTTTCAGGATATTTTTCTCAGTAAAAAAGTAGTTATATGATTATAAAGATTGTGCATATAGCGCGATAGAGTATCGTTATACACAGTTCTGTGCCATAATTAGGCAATTTGTACGCAAATATATATGTTTTACAATTTGCTAGAAGTCTACGTACGTCTACATCAAACCAAAACAAGTGATTCTACACATGAACACACCAGAGGAAGGAGATACATATTTTGAGGAAATCCTTTCATAGACAAAGATTTGGTCCAGATGATACGTTACAGTGTAGAAAAGCACAGGTACAACATAGGTGTGGTCATCATCCTGTAATATCGAAGTAAGATAATATAAGATATTATCACAGGACCTAACCCCCATACACTGGTATTTATCACATGTTGATCAGTCACTCATATATACAATGGCTTTGAGTTAAACGAAGAAATCTGTCTCTGCTTACCTCTTACATATACAGCCCACAGTTGTTCAATGCAATGCCTGAACAGCAATACATGTATAGGCTACCAGGACGTAAACTGAGTGAAATACGTATTGAAAAACACAATCGAGCCATTGTGTCTGTCACTGGTCTGAATGCTTTTGTGTTGATTGTGAAAAGCACCTTGTCGACTGTTATGTATAGCTTTGTGATACCTGAAATCAGCTTGGCTGGGGGCAGTTTAAACACATCTTTAGACACGAAAATACTATGTGGATACTATCTAACATTAACATTTGCTTTTCGAATTATCATGGGTGTATATTTTTCATTGTAATATAAGATACAGAAACAAACAGTTACGTTTTCGATATAACCATATTTACACAAATACGGATTCCTGCAATGCACACCGCGACCGACCGGACCGGAAAGAAGGGTGTGTGTTCAATGTTAAGTCATATCTAACTGATAGGATAGTGTCACATATAGGATCTACCGTCGATACAAATACATGATGTTCTTCCACGTATCTACACACAATGCATCAAATCTATGTTTACACCAACAACTCACAGTTGCCCGTCTGAACGCCGAAGCAAGTCTGGGCGACCAGGAAGTGAATCAAGTGAATCAAGTAGTGAAACCATTTGAAGAGCCATAGCACTGCATACAATGTACATAGATTTCTTAACACATGTTAGAGGTTATGGCTGAATATTCAAGTTTTTTACATGCACTATACAAGTTTCAAACTTCTTTGCTACCTGTACATGTAATGCTCGACAATTTACTACTGCACACTGGTATTTCCCTGGTTGCATAGTCTTCATTATAACAGAGCTTACAAACATAAGAGCAAACGTAACTGACACAGCGATCCTTAATAAAACTTTGAATAGCTGGTGAGGGACAATCCACACACACACACACACACACACACACACACACACACACACACACACACACACACACACACACACACACACACACGAACACACACACACACACGAACACACACTCTCTCTCTCTAAACACACACACTAACCACACACACACTAAACACACACACACACACACACATACATACATACATACATACATACATACATACATACATACATACATACATACATACATACATACATACATACATACATACATACATACATACATACATACATACATACATACATACATACACTAAACACACACACACTAAACACACACATACATACATATATACACGCACACACATACATACATACATACATACATACATACATACATACATACATACATACATACATACATACATACATACATACATACATACATACATACATACATACATACATACATACATACATACATACATACATACATACATACATACATACATACATACATACATACATACATACATACATACATACATACATACATACATACATACATACATGCATGCACATACGCTAGTCATGCGCACAATCTTAAGCAGTCCTAACTGTAACTCGTTAGGGTTCCTGTTCAGTGTAAATGTAGTTGCCTATTTCTATCAGCATAATTTTAAAAACTTCAATCTAAGCATGATGCACAACCATCCAAAACGTCCCATTCAAGTTTACAATTGTTTTGCGTGTCGAAATTTCGTAAGCATTTCGATCGAATATTGAATGACTACGTGTTTTGTGAAATATCTGCAGTTCAGACGATCCATGAGCGTCTGCCGGCTTCTGAAACAAGTTTCTATATATGCAGCGTAGATCCTTTAAGACACCTTATTGAATAATAAAAGTATAAATGCTACCAATACAGTGGTACTTTCTGAAACAGGAGGTAAGGATATATTTATTGTCACAAGTAACTGACTACATGTGGTTCGTTATACGATCATTTCCATTCATATGTCCATTATGTATACATCATTTTGTTATATGTTAAGGGTCTGCTCACGATTTGTGCTTTAGGCTCCTTGTCCGCAGCAGGTTATGGACTGTCTAGTGATTTCATCACATCACAAAGCCAGGTCAAACCCAAGTCATGATGCCATTGTCTGTCTTCTTGTTCCGAAACCAGTGTTACACTATAAGTCACACGGTGTTTTCAAAGGGTGTACGGGACTGTAAGACCCTTGTAAATTCCGTATTTCCTGAGGCGCAGTTTTATTTTTAAAAAAACCATTCAATCTTCGGCAGAATGAGACGCAGAACGTTTCGCTATGATGTTTTCCTGAACTGTCATGAAGGGAGATAACTCGGGATGGCTTAGTTTATTATACAAAATGGTCAAATTTGAGGTTTTGTTAAATGATAAGTGAAATACAGAAACATTTTATTTTGATCACCTCGTAAAAGTCTTCGTATATCCTGTCAAAGTAGCGAATTGTATCCCTTTCGGGATATACTTCACTGAATGAGTGAGTGTGCTTCAAGCAATAATTCAGCACATACCCAGACGGGACACATTAACCCATGTAGGGAATCGAACTCAGGTCCCCGGTGGAAGATAAAACGCTGAAGCCACTTGGATACCCCAGTGCCTGCTTGTGTAAGTATGTGTTTCTAAACTAAGGAATTCCAATCATAGGAAAGAATTAGATTGAAGTGTAGAATATTCTTTTTTATCAGCCAAATGATCTCATGCTGTTTAAATGTCAATATACACACATGCTGTTTAAATGTCAATATACACACTATTTCTGAATATCTTCACAACATTTACACCAAAGTATTGTACAGAAGACCTCAACCTGCGCTTAGTAATTGACACAGTCAAGTTACAAAACCATCACCACTGCATAAACACCTTATGTCTGGCTTGCATCATTCATTTTTAGTGTTATCTGGTATTATAGGCCTCTGTGTATATGAACAAACTGACAGTGAGATACTGACTACGTACTGACCTATTTACGAACAAGCCCTCAGGGTATTGACCAAATTACTAATATGAAACATCGATAAAGTTTAAGGACACCAAGCACAAGTACAAACGTGTGTAACACATCTTTTTTCATTTCCTTCGAAACTAATATAATGTCTGCATATCATACAGGCTGTTCCTTCTCCGTTAATGTATGGCCCCTCTGAGAGGGTACGTAAGTTCCAAAACATTGGGCCAATTTAAATCTATCCAACCTTTTTCATCGTAGAATATGTGTGTTTTTAATGTTTGGCTAAATATGTCTAAACTGCTAACGGCTGAAGGGATGGTGTAAATCCAGCTAGGGTCCATGCAGAAAGTAAGCCCCCATGGTCCCTAGTATGGTGATCCACCTTCAGTTGTTGGCAATCTATAGCCTGTTTTTACATTGTCTTGTCATTTCTAGTAAACATGTTTTAGATTTCATCACTAGTTTCAAATGGATATCAGTGACACACGAGTAGTTTTACTGTTCTTTGTCAACAGGCTTCTTTAATTTCTAATTTTATTGATATAATCATCAATTATTCTCGTCATGATATGGTTGAAATATTGCCGATGTGACGTGAAATATTGCCTCACTCACTCACTCTTTCCTTCTCGGTTACTACTTAGTGATATTGTAGTCATGATCCTTGATACATGCGTTACGTTAAATAGTTATATAGCATACATTTGTTTAACTGTGCGAGGAAGATTTTATACTATAAGGGTTTTATTCAGATGGACTCATGAACACGTGAACACAAGTTCTATCAAACATCAAGGGATGTTTACTCCTTAAATGAGACAGATACTAGTAACTTTATCAAGTACATTATCAAGAACAGCACACGGCACTGTTCTATAGATAATGGTAACGCACACACGATCGAAGAATAACGAATAGAAAACAGTGGCATAAAATGGCATTTGAATGAAGAAACTCTTGTTCCGAAAACTAAAGTCAAGCTTTCCTGCCTGGATCATTTCTGGGAAGTTTATCGTGCACTAGGGGTGTGAACTCTGTCTCCTCAACAGGTCATAACGATATCAACAATTTGAGCATTACGTTTCATAAATTTATAGCTCCATTTAAAGTTTCCTCAAATTCTACTATACATTGCCTGTGTCTCATTGGTACCAGGCGCTATCACGACGGTTTGTCGGTTCATTACCGAAACGTCGACCTTCTAAAGCGTGTCAAAACAAACTGGCAAGGGAGGAGCCGACAGTCTCCACGCATCACTGACTGGGTACAATGGGATTAAAATGTTGTTACAGTCACATGGGTTATACAGAAAACAGGAACGACATAAAAGCGGATTCAGCATATAGTCATTTATGAACAGTAAAGCACTATATTTTCATTTCAGTCGCCTCACGGTTGTGCGCTGATGTCTGTTTTGAAAGAATGTCATTGATCGTAGAAACCGTCGAATTACAATCATTTTGTTGGCATTTCCAAGAAACCCAACCTCCTGTCTTTCTCTTGCTGATTCTATGCATATATCCCCCCATACACATGTATCTAGCGCCCCAAGAAGTATGAAGAAAGTAGTGATCAAGCTGTGCATTTGCCATGATGGAAATGATGTTTGAGATATACGTCATGCTGCCCTATGAGTGATATGATTGGATTAATTAGTGGCTTTGAGCGAACTCACTAAATAATAATATTCTAGTGGGTGAACTGATCTCATATTTAATTTGGTGATCACTTTTCGCACTGAGTTCAACTTTGGGTGACACGCAGACTTTAGTCCCTTGAAACAACAACAACGCTAAACAACATATCACATCAAAGGATTTTTACCCTCAACCTTAGGGGTCGACGTTTCGGTAAGACCCCGGTTTGTTCCCATTCGGAATGCCGGCATGTTACGGTTGCTGAACTAATCCGTTGTTGTTACAAGCATGCGAGTCCTATAAAATTTGAATGTGCAATTTCCTGACTGACTGAGTTTGGTTTTACGCCGCTTTTAGCAATATTCCAGCAACATCACGGCGGGGACACCAGAAATGGGCTTCACACATTGTGCCCATGTGGGGATTCGAACCCGGGTCATCGGCGTGACGAGCCAACGCTTTAACCATTAGGCTACCCCACCGCCCCGAATGTTCAATTTACATGTAGGGGTTACTAATGGGTGGTACCTGTATTACTAAGGAAAATGAAAGAAAAA